AATTAGGTCGCTTTTATCTGGCATTAAAAATTATTATCAGAATTAGATACTCTAATTCTGATAATAATTTTTAATGCCATAAAAAAAAGTACACATTATCGATATCGCCTTGGCAAACTCAACGCGAGGGGGCACCACTAAAATTTATGAAATGTAATTTTCCAGCGTGAACGAGTCGCGAACATTTGTAGCTTTTCCGAGTACAGCAGGAAATTACGATCTCCGCGCGGAGCGAAAATACGAGATCTGCCGCAGTACGTTTAAATTACAGCGGCGGTTTTTTATAATAATCCGGGGCGGTCGCGCCCTGAGCCGCGTAATTAACGGTTCCGACTTACATCCACGTTTTTATTGTGGTAATATTTTGTTAACGCTAAATCTATGCGACTAGGTTAATCATTTGAATAACTGACAAAAACTAAACTGTTTGTGCACTTAGTTGCGAAGAATAGGCTCACAGTGTAGTGTTGTTTGTACAGTATACCTTATATGTATATAGTTACAACTAGTAAACAGAGTAGAATAGGTTTGTACCTTCAAATATATAAACTAAAACAATACAAAAACTATTAAAATATGCTACTCAAAATATAGCATTAAATGCCGTTCTTTACCTTGTTTATTCATAAATGAAATAGGATTAAATCGTTGTGATAAGAAGCTTTAATCGTTTTAACGATTTATATAAAATAGTATAAGGTTCTTAAATCGGTAATAAAATTCATAATACGATAAGATTTAATGTCTATGTTTTGAACCAAATAGTGACGGAGATAGGAATTAAGCAGATAATCTTCGCTATTTACCGAAAATTATTTTGGTATCATAACCTTATCGTTGAAAGCGGAATATTAGATAAGAAAAAGCGATTTGGCGGATTACACGAACCATCGATATTTGTCGGGAGCAAGCCAGAAGTCATAATTCACGGTGGGCGGGGAACCCCCCACTTTCCACCCGGGCAACGGTAACAAGTGTCCGGGCAATTCGCATCCTTGACCGGGCACCGTTCATCGATGACTGATGGCGAACAGATGCCGCCGGCACTCGCCAACTCATCGTCCATGAAATAGGGTTGTCAACGTACTTACTTACTTAGTTTTTTTACCCGAAAGAACGTTGTCGTATATGTATGCAGTTCATTTCATTTCATAGTATTTCAGTTGGCAACATTAACTTTTAGTGCCCCTTTATTAATGTAACAGGTTATAAATGACCCACTGCTGGCCAAAGGCCTCCTCTGTACAGAAGTTATCAGGGCGTAGTCCACTATGCGGGCCCCACTGCGGATGGGCGTACTTCACAATATATCTTCGAAATATTATATTTTTGTAATCATTTCTATATCAGAATATTTTTTTGTATTCCCCTTTATTACAAGCGGAATAATTAAAGATAAAATTATTTAAAAAGTATGAATGACAAAACGTATGTTTACAGTTTATTATTTAGTACGTTTCTTTAGAAAGATAGCTTTCTTTACAGTTAGTTATATTCAATAGTTATGTTATAAATATTACATTATTAGTGATGGCAAACTAATTTGTTGACCACAATTGTTTTTTGTGTGAATAAAACGTACTTATATCTACGGTCCACTGTAAGCTCGTTTTGTACAATTTGAAAATACTAATATATGGCATGCTACAAACAAAACTTTTGACAACCCTGCCTAAGATTAGGGCCCGGATTTAAGATAATTATCTTTTTTACCGAACGCACCCGACGTAGTTTTAATAACGTGATAAATGCCGCGGAAAGGCTTGTCGTTGACGCGTAAGGAGGGTTTCGAAACTCTCGCTTTGATTAATACCATACTTGTTACGTTACTTTTATTGTGCAACAGATGTTTTTTATTCCTTTTTTTCGCGAATTATACTCGACTGAAATGGGGGCCTCGTTTCGTACTAGCGCCGCGAAGAGGAAGATAGAGTTAATTAACTCATTGGCAAAAAAAATATCATCAAACATTCGCAAAAGAAGCGAACGAAAAAAAATTAAAGTTTCAGCCGGTTTAATACCGAATAATTTTAAAATATTAGCCGGTTTAATATTTTAAAATTATTTGGAAGAGACTTACGGTGGTAGGGCCACGCAGCAGCCTCGGCTGTTGCAAGAATGGGCAGGCCCGCCCGGGTAAGTACCACGACCTCACAGAAGACCAGTGGAAGTATGACAAATAGTTTCGCGTTTCGTCTGGTGAGTGAGGTAGCCGGAGCCCGATTTTCAAAAGGTTGTCAACGCCACTGTAACCCTCGGGTGTAACAGATGTCCATGGGCGGCGTTATTTACTTAACATCAGGTGAACCGTCTGCTCGTTTGGCAGCTATTGGCAATAAATGGCAACTATTCACATTAAAAAAAAAATTAAGAAAACCGGTTGGCCAATTGTCTCATTAAAGCTGGCTTATTCAGTTGGATTATGGATGTGTGCACTTGATGCTTAGGTACACGCATTTTTTTGCTCAGGCTATATAATAATTTAAGTAGTCTCTAGACGTTTCAAATAAATCGATCGGCACCTAAATGCCTACTTCCGAGTACCCAGGCAATATATCAAGTTAATAGCTATCAATTTACCACTAAATTACCAACAAGGAACCCTCTATCACTAAAGTACACATCTTCATAAAATAATATCGTTATTGAGTATTATGACTCAATCGATTGTATGCAAGGGAGTTTTGAGTGGCTGATACGAAATTATAGGTTGGTGCTACGCTTGAATAATTTTTGTCGATCGCGTAAAGGGACGTTGTTTGACTTGACGTCATAAATATCGTTTAGTGCTTCGTGGTAGTGATAGGTTAGTAATAAGTAGGAATATGTAAGTACTAATTGTAGACGCAAATTTTTTTTTTTTTTGAGTTTTTCCAGAGCGTTCTTGATGTTGCTATTCCAATATCATACTCTCGAAAATCTCTATTTTTTATTAATTTTTCGGTTTTGCCGTAAATTCTGATGAAATTAAGGCAGCTTTTGGTAGTTTAAAGTGTAGGTGCTTCCTAATTTTAAAATTAGGAAGCGCCTACACTTTAAACTACCGTCTGAGCTGCGATTGTTATATATTATATAGAAATACAAATTTATATTAACATTTCTGTACATGATACTAAGAGTTTGTCCTTTCGTGTCCACTTACAAACACTTAATGTTTGGAAAAAATTATGAGAGTAAAATTTTTAAAATACAAAAATAAAACACCGACCCCCAAAAAGCGACGCGATGAAGTTGGTAACCAACTTCACTGCAGGGGATAAAATTTTTGGTTATTTTTCTTTTGTTACGCTAAAGAAGTATAACTTCTTACGTACGTACCTACATAATTTCCAACATACGTTTTTTTTGTAAGACGATTGAAAGGTTAGTTTAAAATTGTTAAATTCTATTATCTTATATTCTATTCTTTCGTAATTATAACCTATGGGATTCTTGAATAATGCAGACTTGTATGAGTGAAAAATTGTTAGATTCAGTTCAATGGTCGCTTATTGATTTACATTGTGTCAAAACTTTTTACATTTATATGACACAAATATATAACAAGTCATTTGAAAGAGTTTTTCGTTTTTTTCCTATCCAGAACTAAATTCAACTAACATCCCTTGCGCCCACCATGAAAATTAAATTATCATAGGTTCACGAGGGCTAAAATGATAAATGGCCAAGCTGTGACGACCCCGTTGCATCTTGACGCTGACTAATAGCGCCATCTATTGCTAACCAACGATGTCCTCTGTCAAATTTAATGTTCACACGAACCGATAGATGACACTAATTACGCCCCACATTGAACTAACGCAAAATGTTTTCACGACATCAATCTCTTTAAATTTGACTATTTATATACATTTATTTTATAATGTACCAGACAAATTAAATTTAAGCAACTTTACTAACACTCTTTTATGAACTATTTTTAATGTTTATTCAGGGTATTAAATCCAAATAAAATGCATTTAGTATATTTGAAAATTAATTGAGATTTTTTTTTTCATTACATAAGCTCCAGAATTAATTGTGTTGTTGTTGTACGTAACAGTGTTTCACCAAAAATTAAGCTCGTAGTTTTAAGGTTAGTGGAAAGTAAGCTAAGAAAGTTCGTGTTCCTTTGAACAGATGGCAGTGTAACAAAGTTTTTTTTTTAATAGAATCTACGAAGTAATATATTATTTTACTGTTTTCTTTTACCGGACATCATTCATGGTATAGTTTGTAATTTCTGTAAAAATAAAAGTATAATTATATCACCAGGAGTAAACATTAATTAATATACATCAAATTTTTTTAAAAGTTTATGTCCTAGGCTTAACGCCGCGGCTGGTGACAAGAGAGCTGGTTCTTTTCTCGCGCAAAGGTTGAGCATAACTATTCAGCGAGGAAATGCAGCTAGCGTTCTTGGCACCATGCCGCGTGGATTAGGTTTATTAGATAATATGTAATTTTAGATAGATTTAATCTTGTAAATATTAGATCAATAAAGACTGTCTTAATTAACAAGCACAAAAAAAAAACAAAATGAAAAAAATAAAAAAAAAAAAAATTAATATACTTACTCATTTCTTATATGAGAAAAATTGAGGATGCTTTGATTTTGATTATTACTGAATGTTCAGGAAACCAAAGCATCCAAAGTTTTTAGAAAAATTAAAATTGATTACTAAAGAATTTTAAAAATAGACATTTATGCTCATGGACAAACGAAAAGCATTCATCAACTGTGAGATGAATTAAGGTTGCTGAAAGGTGGAATACCCTTATTTAAGTTGTTAAAACTTCACAAACATACACTAAATATTTGAAGATTGTTTTTTTTTATTTTGAAGTGTATGTGACAGTTAGAGTACTAATTAATTAGACTTATTTCCTGTATATTTTCGCTATCGTATAACAAAAGTTTCCTTACTACTAATTATCTTTTAATATCGTTTTCGGAGATTAGTTATGGAAAGATTATTTTGTTACACTTGTGATGAATCGTTGTTTTTGTCCGTTTTTAGGTGTTGGGAAAGAATGGTATCCGAGGATGGCTGGATGGCACTACTGAGAAGACCAATTGGCTGAAATTTGTCCGTTCGACCAATTACCCACACGACGTCAACGTGCTGCATTCCTTGGTTTCCGGACAAGTATGAATATTTTAATGTAACTATTAAAAATTGATTTATTACAGCCGAGAACTGCCGAGTCTGGACATAAGTGATCGGAGGGACCTTACTTTAATCCCGGTGCTGATAAAATAATTCTTGACTAAATAATTATGTAAAATATTTCGAATATTTTTGAATCCACAAGGTCACACAATGAACTGAATAATAATCCTAAACTCTCTGTGGAGCTTTTTTAGACAGCCAGCCAGTGGGACATGTACTTAATTATATTAATCAAACTCGGAGCGCTGTAATGCGTATTGAAGTTAATTGTAATGCTAATAAACGATGGGTTGATTTGACGATAACAGACTATCGTCATTTTCTATTCTAGTAATATTTTTGACTAGAATAGAAAATGATTATTGTTTTCAGTCGAAAACTGTTTTACGAAATTATTGCACAGTTCTAACAAATTATTTAACTAAAATCTAAATTAAAACTTTTAAACATGGTACAAGATTCATGCGATCTTTAGATTTAAAAATATTCAGCAAAATAAAAAAGATCAACAAATCATTATCGCAACAACCCCATTATATACCGTCTTTGTGTCACTACCCCAACGAAATTTGAATGTGGAACGTTGGCAACTTCCGGTGACAGAAAATCGGCGCTCGCCTGAACAACTGTGACCCACTTCCGGTCAATATTAGGGGAGCGAACAGATGCAATGATTAGATTCATGGCCCTTATGAGGTTAAACGCTATTTGATATTTGAACTATGAGCAACCGCCGTTGTACAATTTTATGCACAATTTTAGTGTAAGACACAGATTTTTTTAATAATATAACTAATTATTACACAATTCATAGCTGTAAAGACAATAAATAAAATATGACTGAAAAATGATTACGCTGTATATTACAGCTTTTTCCTATGGACAAAAAAAATTATATTTCTATTGTCATTTACTGATTCGTTTAACTATTACCACATGTTTTTTTGTCTATGCTGTTTTTAAATTTTTTTAAAGTTTTAAAAACAAGAGTTACAGTTTTCAACCGCCTTTAAAAAAGGATGTTTTTTACCTCAGAAGCGTCATTGATGGATCAAAATCATTTACATCGTGTTAGATTTAGCTCTAATGTGGTCTTATATTAATTTCATTGCTCCAAACTCTAAAACCTTGGATTAAAAATCCAATATGTAGTAAGTGAGATAGCGGATGTCGGTTTTAATTTTTGCTATTAAAAATCTATTCGAATGAAAACAACATTTAAGCACGGTAGTTCCATCATTCTTAGGCGATCATTTACTTCTTTTAAAACCGGTTTAAATGATTTATGAAAATGAAAAATAGTATTCATTGACAGGGAAAAATAAAGTACAAGTTGTATTATTTTTTTCCTGATATCTTTTGGCCCCACACTAGGCAGGGTTTTGTGGGTGAAATTAATTTATTTTACTATTCATTATTTTTACAAATAAAGAAGTTACAGCAAGTATGGGAAAGGCGCTTAAAAGAAAGTCGTGTAAATTCTTTTGTGCATCTGCATGAACGTCAGACGGATATTCCAAAGCTCCGTCGTAAGTATCGACGGCGATTGTGGATTTGTTTTCCGCGTAAAACACGTACCGACATAAAAGTATAAAAGGGCGGTGAACATAAGAATTTTCTTACAATTGTGTTTTAGCATTGTGTTAAACATACATAAATAAGCATGTTCTTTTAACTACAATATTTTTTATAAGTAAGTAGTTGAGATATAAGGCACATATTGAAAAAAACATTTCACCCACCTAAAATTAAGATGTAACCACTTCACTATAAGCTGAACTATACATATAACGACGTAAGCGAGTAATACTAGATTCATAATTGATTCGAGAATTGGTAATTAAAGTGTTATAAATTAAAAATAAACCTTTTTAATGAAAAACTGTTAACGTTATACTGACTGGTTAAATTAAACTATTTTAGGAATTTTTTCGCCTTTAATTGAATGTTAAATCAGTATGTTATACCGACTGTTTTCATTTTAAAGCAATATTTTGTTTCACAGATTTGGTATAAAGTTACACGCGAAATTGTTTCCGGCCAAGAGCTTTTGCTGGGGCCCAGGACACCATTGCCTTTGCAAGACGTACTAGCTGCTGCTGGTAAGTGACAAAGATTCTTTATATATATCACTGGCCTTGTACGCCGAACAGTATATAGTATTAAAATAATTTAATTTAATAAAAATCATACATCGTTCAAAATTCATCTCAAAATAATACAACACCAAATCTTTGTGTACCTATGTATTATAATTATTCACACTTTGGTAATGTCTCATTAAGCTGGACTATTTTCAAAAACAGTATTAAATCAATAGTAAATCTGAATTAGATAACATACATGGGAAATAAATGCAAACAAAATAAGTATTAAGAATATTGATATCCTCCTTTATTTTTTGTATATAATTAATTGCGTACGCCTGTGTACCGGTAGGTTAGATACGAATTGTGTTTCTCATGGCTCCGGCGTTGAAACAATATAGTTTGACTTTTGAAACGTTAACCTATTGGCGAGCGGAACATAAACGGGGCTTGCATCGATGTAATCACAGCGACGCGTGCTTTACGGTCCGCTGCCCGCTCGTCCAGGGCGGCAGTTAATTGGAGTCACCTGCCCTGCGCCCCGAACGTGTGACTCCGGCCTTATTACTCCGCTATTCTCTATCTACAGGCTGCTCTAATTTCCAACGCCCACAAATACATTTTTACTAATAAAGGACAAAACCGACTTCAAATATCTCACTCGCTAAATATTTTCTACAATTTTCAAGAGATCAAAGAGATAGATACAAAAATATCAGTACATCAAAGAGGAACTCTTTGATGTATCTCTGGAGTCAAAGGTCCAATACTAATGAAATTAATACGGGACCAATGATGTTTAATACTATAGATTACGCATGTCTGTGAAAGTGACAGATGATGTAGAAAGTATGATATGGAAAGAGGCAGTGCATAGAATTGCAATCTAATTATACCAATTGGCGTAGTTTGAGTGCCTCATTTTCTGTGTGCTAGTGTCATTTGTACTTCGTATTTATAGATAAGCCATTGTACGGGACTGCACTGAAGCCAAACTGAACCCAATGCAAAAATTATATTTTAAACCTGATTATGAAAGACGTCGTTATTTAGACTCTCTTCTCTTCTCTCGTTTATCGTTATTTAGAGTACAATTTAGTAAACAGACTCAATGATGTAGTATGCAACCGGTTAACAGGTGCACAACACAGTTATTTACGGATGATATGAAATGTATTCAACGTATTGAATGCTGGGAATGCGTAAATGCAAATGCTTAGCCTTGACGATCGTATCTGAAATGCTAAGTCACCGGTATCGGCGGCCGAGCAAGTGCGGCGTTTGGTTTTACTTAAACCATTCCGACAATTTAATACTGTCTTGTTCCGGTCACAGGGGAGCGAGAGGTTAGCCGCCGATTGCCCGTCGAAATCTGTCGTGTCGGATTTGTCATATGCAATCCGATGTTGTTTTAGTAGACCTCTTGTGTTTGTGGTTTTTCAAGTGATGGAGTAATAACATCTGGTTTTTTAATAGTATTTTGAAACTTAGATAATTAACATTGATGTATATTTGCCATGTTTAATTTTGATATGAAACGAATTCTTAATTTTTTTGCAATCGAATTGTTTAAAAAAAATCTAATTGGTCACGTGTTAGCCTAATGTGTCAATTTGCATTCTACATCACTTTTACCCTTAAAGTATTTCACAGAGATTCAATCGTGTCGCAGTTGAATTTTTAGTCATCAGTAAAAGTTTGCAAATCTCACGCTTTGTTTGTACGCTTATAATAACAAACCATTGAAAAATTTACATTGCTTTCTTTTCTTGTTTTGTGGCTACAAATTGAGGTTTTATTGTACAATCGATAACAATAGATATCGTACGTAGTTCAAACTAGAAAAGCGGAGTTTAGCTCTAATACGCGTAGTAATAAATATGATAAGTTGCGATGCATTGATATCTCAAAATGAATTGCTATGTATTGTTGTATAATTTGTAATATAATATTCATAATAAATATATTAATTGATAAGTATCTCCATTCTGATAACAAAAAGTGATCAATTTTGTGTCATATTCAAACAGTGAAGCTTTTAAGTCACTCTGTATTGAATAAAAAATGGCAGGACGCGGACACACCGGTGCCACGCGAGCGTGCGATATTTAATTTAGATAAATCGAGACGTACGCGACGCCCGATTTGAAAAATAACGCATATGCTTCTACTGCCGTGGGGCGATGGGCAGGCACATAGGAAACCTTGTAGTATGCTGGAAGTGTTTCTTCTTTTAAAGTTTTTTAAACATGTACGTAAAATGATGACGCTTCCATATATGATTAGATCGAGTGATTGAGGCATATGATTATAGATATGGCGTACTTTATGATCAACATTTTTCATTGATCATTCTTTACGAATTACTGTAAATATTAATTAATTAATGCAACTGTGGTAGGTCCGTCCGGGGAAGTACCACGACCTCACAGAAGACCGGCGTGTAGTAGCCGGGGCCCACTTTATTAAAAGGTGGCAACGTATCTGCAACCTTAAAAATGTGTTGCAAATGTCCACGCGGCTCTTATCAATTACCATCAGGTGAAACGCTAGCTCGGTTGCCACCTTCTCACTTAAAAATATTAAATACAGTAATGATATTAAAATATTTGTTACTTAGCTAATTATTCCTCATTAACAATACTGTTAATGTGGTTTAAATTATTAGAAAAATAGTGAATGTACATCCATTTAGGTTAAACTACTATAATCTATCTTTATATTCTGAAAGTTATGGAAATAACTTTTGAAAAACATATACGCGTAAAAATTATTTAAATGTGAAAGTAATCTTCAACATGCTAGTGACCGTGATATAATTATAAGTACTAGCGTTGTTGTATAAATGCCACATCTAGAAGTATCCACTTCAGCGTTTCGCCCAGTGGTCTTCAGAGCTTCCTGTAGTGCCTTCCGGTCTATCGACGACACAGCCGGCGTGGTTGCGTGTGATTTATGCGATCCGAATTGTCCTTAATTATTATACCGCATAAATTTATCTGCTTATTTTTCGGTTTGTTTCAAACTCGCTTTCCGTAAGGAAGAGTGGGAATTCGAATTACTCAGGTCTTAGGACTCGAATACCGCAAGCGTGGACCAATTCATTTTAACAAAGGCACAATTTTGAATTCTTTACGTGGAAGATGTCTTGTATAATGCGACAGACTTGCCCCCTAGCAGGTTTTTGGTTTTCGTACGGTGTAATACACCATTACTTAATTTTCTCTTTCAAAGTAGAATTGAATGGTTATTTAATTCTATTGTAATTTATGTGATCACTTCGTTTGGAATGGATTTTTGGATCCCGAAAACGGTTTGACAATAATTTCATTTATCAATTTGAACAAATTTATATTGTATATGTTGTTTTTTGTAGAAGGGATATTCATTGCTTGGCGAAACCGCTTTAAGGCGCTTGATATTTGGAGGTAGCTAGTGTGAATTTCTAGGTATAGTTTCCTGGGTATACGTGATATAACCAAAACAGCCTATAGAAACTAGATGCGCAGTCGATGATCTGCCGAAGAGGCGAAGTTTGGTAGAGTGGTTCAACAGACCACCGAAAGCTCGCCACGATGTTGACATAATTTAAAGAAAACAAATACCCTTAACCTGCATTTGGGCAAAGGCACGGCAGTTATTCGGCCATTTCCACTTCGCCACCTATTCAATTGTAAAAGCCGGGAAGGAACCACCCACGTGGCTAGGCAACATCAGCTGCGCGCCATGATCGCGATGACTTTAAAGTATTTCACGTAATTATAATCGGTTTGCAACCGCCTCATTCAGAAATTTGTCAGAGCATACCCCCCTTTTTTGTTTGGCGCGCATGCTTTGATCGATGGGCTATTTACTGCGAGCGGACCGTTATCGTTTCTTCCATTGGACAATTTTCGATAGTGCGGACTTTTTGCCCGGTGGATTAATAAATTTAGCGTCACACGGCCGAGATAGCGGCGAGATTCGGTAAAAGCTTAAGCCGTGGCAGTCCCGATAACGCTTGATTGATATTCATTCACTATATAATTTGTTTAATTTGTAAATTACAAACTGAAAGCCACTTGTAAGTCTGTTACGCGGAATAGGTTAGCCGTTTAGCAATGTTCCAAATTAATTCAGTGACGATAAGGTCTATCAACAATTAAACGGAATGGATATTTTATAATTTACTGAGCACATACTTGAATTAAAAAGGCTTTTTAAATCAGGTAAAAGTGTTACCTACCTAAGATATTGATCGTGCAGAAAAAATTGCTTCTTAGTGTTTACAGCGAAAAATCTATTTCTTATTAAAAACTACTTATTGTTTTTTTAAATACAAACTTCAAGTCATTACATTTATAATACAAATGTTATTCCTTATCTATTTTTGTTAATAAACAAGCATAGATTCTCTATAAATCTATACCCAAGCAAATATTACTTTAAAATATTTGCAACCGTGTATAGTTTGGCTTATTAATAAAACTGATAAATAAAATGCAAGCATAGTAAACATCGAATTATAATCCCCGTGCCGTCATATGCAATAACAATATATAATAAACTTAACCCTTTATTAGTCGCCTTTTTTCCCTGGCCGGCCGCGTGCGTTCGCGCGTAATGAATGAGTGTCGCTTTGACATTTGTCATTCGTGCAATTGTCGCACAGATTAAAATTGATGACGTAGCTCCGTACGCGGGAAGCTGGGCCTTTTGTTGAGCACGAGCCGCATTGTGCAATACCATTTTCAAACGAGTTTCTGCGATATTAATGAGATTTTCATCTAAATTATATACAGATAAACGCACATATGCTGTACAAAAATAATTTCGGTGCATAATCTCTCGCATCTGGAAATGAGACGACGCTTGAGATACAAGAACTCTAAAGCTCTGGGACAGGGGAAATTGAAGCATTAAACATTCAATTTCAAGTATAAAGCACAGACTACAAATGAATATCATTCATATTACATGCAAAAAATATATGCTTCAAAGAGCGCAGTGGAAAATAATTTCATTGCAAGTACTAATACTTTTTCTACTAAAAATGTTGGTTTGGTATGAATCTAATGTATTCATTGGTATTAATTTGTTCACTTGTCCAACATTACAACTACGAATGTGAAATATTATTATGTTCTCTGCGATGAATCCATTGCATAAACCTAAGCGTCACAGATTAGCAACGACTCCCCGCTGATGAAAAGGAATGATTAATCAAAAAATTAACCGACAACAATGGCCGCACCCCCCATTTAACCGAATAGCAGCCAGTGGGCATCCCACATCGCTTATTTATTTTACAATCAAATAAATATTACGGACAATAAAATAGAAATATTTCAATTTAATGTCGCCGCCCCAGCAAAAGGGTTGAATCTGGTGTAGGGATGTTTGTCACGTTTTTTGTTAATAGATTAGTCGGATATTCTACTATCTTGATTTGATGCGAAATTAAACAATTTTCTGTCTATTGTACGCAGGGGTTATCATTATTTGCTCCATTTATTTATTCCGCGTCGTTATTTTTTTAACTTTTTTGTGTGAATCAATTTTTGATAGTTATAATCTGGTTTCTTTAATTTATTTTTATACTCTTCTTAGCAGGAAACAATATCACAGATAACCAATACAAAATTTCATTGAAACGAAATCAACAACCATCATTAAATCCGAATAGAAATATTTATACCTTCTGTCGTCTTTTTTTTTCTCTTTGTTAGAGGATCAAGTCGAGGTCATAGTCCTCGAAGACCGTTATTGCTATTCGTGTTATTAAGACATCGCGGATATGGCTGGCCGAGGTCGTTGGTGACTCCGGAGGGCCTAACGGTACGCACGGACCAACAGACGCGCTCACCTGATGCGTCCTTTGCCGCGAGCGCTGTCACGCTGCCGCACTGAACGCAGGAAACGTGCTAACTTACCGTATCAGTGATGTAGAACATGGGCCCGCAGCGTTCGTGCTGTTACGAATAAATCAAAATTTAATTGCCATTATAATATGTGAGTACTGTGACATAAAGACAAAGTGCATTTTTATTTTCTCTATGGAATCCTGATACTCTGTTATACTAACGGAGTTCTTGTAAATGAGCATTAGAGTTGAAAAAGAGCGATAATTTAAAAAAAACAGTTATATAATAGTTTTAACTTAACAAGGATTCACATTTTAGAAAACTACTGTAGGTTTTGTCGCGGTCATTTTCGGATACTTAACAAGATTCGTGGTTACGAAATAGGCTTCTTTTCTGGCCTCATTGGGCCAACGGTAGGCTTACAGCAAATGCCTAGAATTACACTCAAAAGTGCCCAATGTTCAGCTCATTAAACACCATGTCGATAATGGTATCGATGGCTCCGTGGAAAAACAGAATACCCTTTGCATTTATTATATTGTATTTTTTTATTATCTTTATAATATCTCACAGTTTAAACTTGCGACTTCAAAGATGCTAATTATGTTAACGGTAGTTCACAGTAACAGGTGGAGATAGCGAGGGTTGGTCGGTTTCATTACAAAGATCGGTAAGTCACCGTCACGGTGGAAGCGCGCGTCATCTGTCGACGCCGTGGGAAAACTTAACGTCCACACCCTCGCTTACATAATAATGTTAAATTAACGGAATACTTGCACAGTTTCTTTAACAAATGTTGTATATATTTTAACATGTTCAATAATATAGTGTTTATTAGTTGCTTTAACGTGAATCTTTGGGTCTACTGCAACTTTATTGTATCACCTAAAAGATGTCTGGTAGAAAATACCATTGGCATAAAATTAAGATTAATAAATCAATAACAATATTTTTTATCTCAAACGCTTACGATTGCGTTACTTGTGAACGATTCAAAGGTTCTATTCCTTTGATGTTTCCTGCAGTTTTAGAATATTACGCTTAATTGTTATAGTATGCGCAACGCATATATTTTCAACTTTTGAAGTGTTCATTATGAACATTCAAAATCGGTAAAAATTTATATGAACATATAGTGTGTGTTAGGAATTGATTAAAAGTAACTTGTTGAATAATATGTTAGTTCATTAAATTATTTTTGGCCATTAAATCATTACAGTATCATTAATTTCATTAAGTCATTATCACTAAATCATTATTACGTTTTTTGATAATGACAGAAATGGATGTCATGAAAATCGTAGAGATAAAATTAAAAGTTAATAAACTTATAAAAAAATAAATTTAAGCAGCACAGTAAATAAGCTATTTCAAATAACTGTTAGAATTTAATTCAATACCCTTGAAATGTTTAAAATATGAGAAACTATGAAATAAAGCTGTTAGTGTGCATCTAAACTCGCTTAGATTGACTAAACACGATCCGTTTCCTCCAATCCACAAACTTATAAATGTTTAATTGTCCATGTGCGTGATGTCCAGAAACTGTTTATAACAATAGAATTATCGATATTTGGACATACCATTGTGTCATGCAATGTGTGTAATCATGTATAATTACAGCACAATTAATTGAACAATGGTGAAAAGAAAAGAAAATGCATAGTAAATTACCGTGATAGCTCAGTGACACAGCGCTCGCTTTTAATACATTATCGATCAACCAGAGTTCAAATCCCGATGCTGATAGAAATGACAATTTTATTGCAATTAAGTGGTGATTTGAAGCCTGCAAATTTTTGTAGTATGCAGATAATATATGATAAAAAGGTCTTAAACGTTTGTGAAGTCCTGTCCTGTTTGTGAAGGCTATGCTCTAATACCATCTGTAAAAATTAGACCTTTGCTCAGCAGTGGGAGATATAGGCTGCTACTTTACTTAAAGTAAAAAAGGGGAATATGGTGATTGGAACCATCGTAAGTAACTGTTTACGATGGTTCCAATCTTCTTCGGTTATCTGTTCATAACGGAACGAGGATTTAAATTTATTCTGTTAAATTAATCTAATATATATAATGCTCGTGTCACGGTGTTTGTAATTGAACTCTTCCGAAACGGCTCGACCGATTTTCTGGAAATTTTGTGTGCATACCGGCCAGAGTGGTGAATCGGAAATTATTTTGCATCGCCCTAAATGTTAAGGGTGGTCCACATCAAACATTTTTTCTACCCTATAAATAATGAATACAGCAAAACAACGTTTGCCGGGTCAGCTAGTAACATATGTAATCCTCTGTCTCCAGTTAACTTTTGACGATGAGAAATGTATGATTCAATTACTCTTTGAAAGATATTCTTCCCAAGCATCTCATGTTTATAAACGTTACTAATCACATCTGTAGAACAACTTTTTTTTATTGATCTGAAAAAAAGATGAAATACGTCATGCATTGATAATTTTATATTTTCAATGCAAATGTCAGGTCAAGTGAGCATATTAACCCTCGTGGTGTGCAGGTGGGGTGGGGGTGTGACCTGCCCTCTGATAATTTGTTACAAACACTTCAGTCCTGTACTGACATCATACAACGACCGGTTGACCTATGTTCTGTTCCATTGTCATCATTAGTGATTACAGTTAATCTTTTGTTTTTTGTTCGTCTAAATTTTCACTTCCGGTTTTAAGGTGAGTGAACTGCTGACCACCACTTTACGTATTTTTAAATTTCATACTTAATAATATTAACATTATGATAAAATATAGTAATTTTAAAATTGGACAAAGCACATTTTAGGCAATTTTGTTCACTGTATTAAGCCTTGTTTTCAATATGACGGTCCGTTGCCCAAATTATATGTGTTAATTAGTCGTGAAGAGATTTCTTTTACTGATCGCAATGCCGTTCCTTCGATGATATCACTTATCGTTATCTCGGCCTTACTGCATCACGGATGCGGGGCTCGTTAGACAATGCTCGAGGCGTGGCTCCACTCGTCGTGACTAGAATTAATTCTGCATGTGTCAATGTAAAACATTTCATACTTCCGACGCTTCGCTCGTGATCGTCCGATCATAAATTTCAGCCGCAGACGGCGAGATATGAACTTGTCTCGCTTAGTGAGGTTTCGTCTAATTATGCATGTGAGATTATCGTGCCTTTATTGTGCGAATGTCGGAAAACTTTCATTATCTGTCCTGAATGAGTTTGTGATGCCTTTGTTTTTCTATGTTATAATACTGTAGTAGTTTTATGTTACAATACCATAAAACATAGTAGTTACATAAAATAATTGTGTTATCTATTTTTATTATTTGAGGGCTGGAAAGATCGCTGCAGTGCCCATTTTAATTGTATCTAAAGTTTTCAAAATTAAATTATTATTATTTTTTTTTTTATGTGAGGAAGTGGCAAACGAGTTGGCGGTTCACCTGATGTTAAGTGATAACCGCCTGCCCATGGACATTTGCAACACTCGTAGGGTTGCAGATGCGTTGCCACCTCTTAATAATGTGGGCCACCTCTTAATATGTTTGTTTAATGTCACTATATTACATAAAGTAATAATTCACTAATAGTAGTGTAGTGTGTATAAACTATTGGTTTCACTTATGCTGGATTTCTAGTCTGATGATATATGATCTTATTCTTGTCTGATCTAAATATCCGTAATGAATAATGATGAGTGAAAAATACTTAAAAAATAAAAATATGTTTTTTTGTACAATTGCATGTAGTAAAATCATCGTATTGAAGTAAATTGTTTTGGAAATATCCAAAATTGAATATATAAATTATATCCAAAATTGAATGTTTGCAAACGGACCCAGATTATGTTTACTCCGTTTGTCGATTCTTACTTCAACTAACTATTATTTATTATTGCTTCAGGTCGAGAAAATTCCAACGTTGAGCCATCGAGTGCTTCCCAAACTTTAGCAGAAGAGGAAGAGCGAGAGGATACGGAGCCCAGGTGTTCCTTCTGCGACTCGCCTTTTCCCAATATCGATGTGTAAGTAACATTACTAAATACAATTCATAAAAAGTAAAAGTAACAGCCTATACATGTCCCACTGCTGGGCAAAGGCCTCCTCTATACAGAGGGTATCAGGGCATAGTCCACCACGCGGCCCCACTGCGGATTGGCGGACTTCACATATTTTCGAAAAATATTTTTTTTTGTTATTATTTTGAAAATATGCAGGTTTCCTCACGATGTTTTCCTTCACCGTGGAGCACGTGATAAGTCAGCACTTAAAGTTAAAAACTTCATCGGTGCTGGCACCGGGGATCAAACTCAGGTTGCTCGAGTATATTGAATTAAAGGCGAGCGCCCGGACACTGAGCTATCACGGCTCGATACAATTCATACTAAGTTACATATTTATTTACTCAATTCATCCGATTGGCGTAGTGGATAGTGAACCTGTTTCTTGCTCTAGAGGGTGTGGGTTAAATTCTCACTACTTGAAAAATACTCTAGTGTCTGGTATATACCTGTATTTATTTACAAAAGAAAAGTACATGTAAGTATGTTTATCAGTTAGATAGTACCCATAATTTTAGCTTAGCTTAGTCTCGGACTATGAAACTTTATGTAAAAATGCGTCCTAAAATATTATATTATTATTTTCTGCAATAAGAGACACTCGAAGATCATATTAATCCAACAATGGATTTAGCTCATGACTATTTTTGTCTTATTAAAATATATTACCATTTCGCATCGGCTACGTGCCTGAATTAAATTCGTATCACTCATTCGGCTACGTCGCTTCTTATCTGGGCACCGCATTCAAGTCGGCCGCGAGATTCAGTAGTCGATCAATTTAAAACGTCTTCAAAACCATTAACCTCTTGCCAGTGATGCGATTCGGCCGTTTTAGAAGCGGTCCGGTAACGATTTATTCCGTATTAGAGATGTGCTGGTTCGATAAGACGCACGTCGATGATTTGTTAGGCGTCTGCTTGAGGGCACGCGACGTCACATCTTCCACGTTTCAGACGTACCGAAGCCACCTCTTGAGTTGTAGATTTTTTTAAAGTCAACTGTGATTTCTCAACACTTTTTCTATCTTACGGAAGCTCTCAGAGACTTCAATTAGTTCTTAATTACTATTAACTTCGTTAACTTGTCTGGTTCAGTCTTATAAAACTAATCGCCATTGAACCTATTTACGATGCACTATTTGCTAGGTAAAATTGTTAAATGTGTTTATCTTTTTTTAATTGACAACAAATTTTAAACCGTTTCGTGACACGATGAAAAATATCTGATGAATTTTTAATCTATATGGCATACAATAGATGGCTGGCGTGTGTCATCATATTCTATTAGAGTAGCATCGAACTCGTCAATAATGCAAACGATCGATTACTGATCGACATGCACTGCTTTAACTTACACTCGATTTTATCGCCCCATCACTATTATTTAAAATGTTATGAGAATAATCAACGAAATAATTAATTTCATTTTAATATTGAGATTTTTAAAATCACCCTTAAGTATTCATCTCAAAAATGGGGATTGTAAGCGATTTAAACAGTAGTTTAGGATACTTCCAACGTTGAGCTTTATTTAATAACTATAGTTATAAGAACTAGAGTTTTGTTTAATAACTAGCTGCTGCCCGCGACTACGTCTGCGTAGAAGAGGCTGAATGCGTAACATTCAGACAGATATACATAAAATATGTATATAAATTGTAGCCTATGTCTTATTCTGATATATAAGCTGTATTATTGTAAAGTTTCAATAAAATCCATTCAGCAGTAGTTGCGTGAAAGAGTAACAAACATCCATCCAAACAAACTTTCGCCTGTATAATATTATGAGGATTTATTCATTTCTTCTGTTTTGCATTACGTATTTTGAAACAGCATAATTGGAAGCCATTGGAATGTCTCTCAGATATTACAGTTGTTCTAAACCAACAGCTGACAGATACAATGGTCATTTGGCGTGACCGTATTTTATCTGTCAAGCTGTGAACTTGCGAGTACAAACCGTTGCGAGCTCAGATCAGAATTACTGGGATTCTTGATCTGTCCGCAACCATCATTATTATCCAAAGGTTCACTTCCATTGCGAAGCGAACTAGTTTAGGCACTGTTAGATTTATAGTAAAGTTTTTGCGACGTTAAATAGCCTGCCCTGGCATTTAAAACGAAACAGTTGTATAATATAAAGAATTGTTATCTATGTGTAGATCTGAAATATTGCGGTTGGTATATCCGAACTGTCAGATGGTGGCTCTGGATTTATGTCTGGCTTGAATAATACGTTTAAAAATTTTGCATATTTAAGCTTTAATTCAAACTTTATTGCTGTGAGCGACTGCGTTATAAAGTACAATCGCAGCGATCGTAATGCAATCAATTATTGAAATGTACCGATCTAACGTATTATAACAGATAAGTCGTTGAGATTATTACCGTCATTGAAAAAAAAATGCAATAGTTGCTTTAATATTATTATAAAACGAAATATTTCAATATTTTACTTTAATGCATAATTGTTTTAATAAAATCATAAAACAAAAATGACGATGACAAAATCGACTTAAACCCGTAACTAGTTCATTACTGCTAATATGGCAACAATAAACGTACGAGTGCAATCAGTTACGTTGATCAAATATATTTTTATAAGGAATACTTATATAAGTTGAGGAATACTAAACGTATATCAAAAGATTTTGGCGATGCTACTCGTACAAATTATGCGTTATTAATGAATACCAATATAGCTAAAATGAGAAAAAAAGAATGTTTATAGAGAATGAATAAAAAGAAAAAATGAATTATGTTGAATTTGTATTAAAAATTATTATCATTCAAGAGTCGTAGATTATTAACAGAAATAATTTAGATAATTCAGATGACCAGCGTTCAAAATTCAAAAGTTCTGATAATGCCACGGAACTTATGACCCGAGTTGGTATATTTAGTAATTCAACTAAAGTGTATGCTTCGTTTGTAACTCATTTAAGGGCGCAACTCCTCGTGGTTGGTGTGGGTGTAGAATGGTTTAGCTGTAAACGAAAGCTGTTCATCGGTTAGTTATTAGCTATTTGAGAACATGTACATCATAATCTCACTGTTGTCTAATGTCAGTTTCACCTCTGAATTTATGTATAACCAAAGCTCTACTTCCACTTTGCAATATTATATCTTCAAAATATTAAAGTTACTTAAAAAGGAACTTTCACTTCTTAGTTAAGTTTAATTGTATGTAAGCAGCCTAAGAGCGTGCCAAGCGTGTTGAAAAAAAAATGTTTTTCTAAACGTATTCTCTTTTTATAAACATACAAGTTTAATATCAATTAAATTAACTAAATCTCTTCCCGTGTACTTATCGAAGTAATATCTTAATTTATACAATAATGTTCCAATGAGTTCAATTAACTTCTGTTTTTCATGAATATATATATAAACGACTTAACAGATTTGAGGCACTAGTATATAAATTTGAACTAAACATAATATATCACCGCAGTGCAATTTTTTCTTGGATTCCATGCCTTTTAAGTAAAGTATGTTATTAAAAATAATAGAAGCAGTAAGCAAACGACATTAAATACTTGTAATGACACTTCACTACCAAAATTGATACGATTTTTGTTAATGCTGTAGACCTTAATTTCAAGCGAAGTTTTGTTACAATCTCAAACTTATAAGGATCATAAAACTCCATAAAAGTCGGTGAGCTGGTATCCGCTATGAAATAATTCATAATACTCCTTAGTTTTTGCGCGCTTCTCCATTTTTGGTGATAATATTTTGCAAGGTACGATATAATATGTTGTTCTTAACGATTTATTGGTACATATTAGACTGTTATTATAATCGTAAACATTTCGCAAATATTTTGTATTTATTTTTTTAACCGAGTGACATTTTTTAAAAAATCTGTATTTATGGATGTAGTTTCTTTATAATTATAATGATAAGAGAAAATTATTTTTATTTATAATTTCAAAAGGTGAAGGGAAACAAAAAACATCAACCATTCTTACAGCTATTTTTTACATTTATATTTATCAGCCATTAGTGTCCCACTGTTGGGCAAAGGCCTTACAGCTATATTAAATTTTTATCGCCATAGGCGATTAACATTACACTAATTTTGTATATCGTCAATTTCTAGAGAATTCCATTTATTTTTATTATTCATAATTATAAACATAAACTTTTAACGCTAACTTACTTTCAAAGAGCTTTTAGCTCACAATTATAATTATTATAATTAACGATTAATGGGTAATGATTTTACATACTTTTTGTTTAAAAACGTTGTGATTAACAAATGTGTATACAATTGTTTTAATTATATTGCCATGTTAAGAATGAATGCATTAAATAGACAACACGCTTTCAATTTAATATCCGATTACGAAATAAGCTATTAAATGGTACACAATCTATACTTGTTAGAGACGTTTACTTTGATGATTATATGAGATTGATATAAAAAGAAAGAAACAAATCAACAGCCTAAGATCGTTCGGATAGCGAGACGTTGCAAGTGTACCCTGAGGCCTTATGTTGTGCGTCTGTGTGTTGCGTATTCTACCTTTCAGAAGTAATTAGATAGAAACAAAATACAAATATTAAACCAGGTGGCGCAAATGTTACCACACGAATTTTCACACAAATATACGAAAAGATAACCATACGAACTCCATATCATTTTTTGAACAAAATAAAGTTTTACTTGGTTCGTAAAACGATTTTTTTTTATTCTGCGAAAGAGCAATGTTTTTCTTCTTAGCCAATTATTACATTAATTTTAATACTGAATATTAAGTTCTTATTTCACGGATTTCGTGTAGATACCTTTTAGTCATATTTAAAAGCAATATTGCCTATCACGGGGCATTTGTTACAATTACATCTTTTTATTATCATATAAAAAATGAAATAAAATAATTATCAGTCATCACTATTGCTTTTAAAAATGAATAAAAAGTTTGTCAATTTGAGAAAAGTGTGTGAATTGCGAAAATGTTAATGTAAATCTAAAGAGATGTTCTTAAGCATAATAGAGAAGACATACTCCGTTAATTACGTAATCGGTGCTTTTCAATAACCACTCGTAGCTTACTTCTAGCTATTGAAATTCTTATCGGTCCACTTCATCGAAAAATGAAAGTCCAAGCCCAGTATTATAATCAAGTGAACTCTTCCTGGACTACCCACTGCTTCGATTATCGAGCATGGTAGCAGTCTCACTACGCAATGTACGAACTGAAAACATGTTAGCGACAGAACCATTATGACGGTAGATTTTATTCTTGAGATTAATTAAAAGATACGGCAGCGGCAGTCCGCGAGAGTGAAAACGGCTCTTTTCTAATATCGATGGCGACGACTCTATCGCATTGAACGGTGTACATCGTCACCTTTCTACTGGTATTTTATATTTTAACAAATTCACAACGTTCAATGGTGTGCACTCGTAAATAGGTACGTTACTTTGACACATGTCAGGTGAAGTGATAGAAAACGCCGTTGGTTACTACAGTTGCGTGTTAAATACCAGTTACCATCAAAGAGAGTCCAAGCTAAGAGAACTTTTGCAAATGATACGTTTTCCATTAAACATAACGTGTGCATAAATATTGTGAGATGCGAAATTTATGACTCCGTGAGAAACTGATATATATAATAAAGTAAAATCAGTTTACGTAACCGCGTAAATTTACATAACCTATAAAACGACGAGCAATATCGATTTCCAATACAACGCTCGTGAAACTTGAACATTGGAAATTTATTGCAAAAATGAATCCTAATATTTTCGACGTGGAACTGAAACGTATTTGAATAATGCATAAGGCAATGATACCTTTGCGTAGGTGGTCCCGATGTATGGAGCTATTATTTCGTCCCTTCCTGAATGCTTGGACGAAACATGCTTGTTTATAAGCATAACCTTTTAGCTATCTATCTGAACGATAAGTAATTTGTTATTTTCGAAAAAACACTCGAATAGTTTAAAATTTTACCATCTGAATATACTAAACATTTTTGAACAGAATTTAACGCTACCAGGAATCGAACTTGCTCCTTCCAGAGAACTTACCCAGAGGCGTAGTCACTAAGCTAAGCTGTAGAGATCCTCACTATCTATATTTTTTCATAGGGCATTTTTAGAAATGTTTGATCATCTATTGCTTCTTGTCGTAAGTACTGAGACAAATTTTAAATTGGACAACTGAAGCACATTTTTCAGGATTAAAGGTTAAAAGCATTTTTGTGCAAGGCAATATAAACCCGTAAACGTCATATCCTTTCAAAGGGAACACGCAAGTGACCAATACGTTCTTTTAATTTCAGACTTGATCGCCATTTGATACAAGCACATGCACAGCCGGCAGCCGCGTTCCACTGCGAGCTCTGCAACCGCGCATACAGCTCCCGGGCATTGTTGCTCAGACATCGCGCACTAGCACACACCGACATCAGAAAATATCCCTGCGAGAACTGTCCCAAGGTGTGAATTGGCATTCGTTATTGATAAGTAAATAATCTGATGACTCCGTGGCTCAGTGGCCAAGGCATGGCTTCGGGGGTCGTGGGTTCGATTCCCACACGCACAACTATTTGTGTTACCCACAGATACCCGTTTCGCATCTGGGTGTTTGTCTGCGTGAAATTTATGTTTGTAAAACGTCCTTACAACACAGGATAATGTTATTCTAAATAAGGGCAATGTTTTTTTAAGCAAAAAAAAAAGAGTGTACATACACATATTTGAAGGCTTTACACAATGGTGTCACAATAATAATACAGATGTTAATGTAAATGTATCAAATCATATGTAAAAATCATATGTAACAAAAAAATTACGGCTAAACCATCAAGGTATTTGCAACATATTATATATATATTTAAAGAAAAATACTTTTAACAACATCACAAAAAATAATTAAGAGACCAAACATTCTGAACTAAATGCATGAAGCGCATCGAAACCTGGTTATTTCAGGTATTTACCGATCCTTCCAACCTGCAGCGCCACATCCGCGCACAGCACGTGGGGGCGCGCAGCCACGCTTGTCCTGAATGCGGGAAGACCTTCGCCACATCTTCCGGTCTCAAACAGCACACGCACATACACTCCAGCGTCAAACCCTTCCAATGCAAGGTCTGCTTTAAGGTGAGCATTTTTTATCAAGTTACTTTTGCTTACTTTATCTATAGCTACTATGGCAATAAGATTCAGATCTTATATAATTAACAAAACATATTATAATATGGATCTTTTTGTTCTTACTTCAGGCATACACTCAATTCTCCAACCTCTGTCGCCACAAACGAATGCACGTTGCGTGCAGGGCATTAGTGGAGTGTGGAAAGTGCGGCCAGTCCTTTACATCGTACGCGTCGCTCACAAAGCACAAGAGATTCTGCGACACAGCAACTGCTACCAACGTTAATTTACGTGGCCAACTACCGCAAGTACTTCCTCAAATCCCTCCCTTACCCAACGTCGGAATGAATACTCCGAATAATGCTAATCCATTCCCCATGTACAGGGGTCCAGCATTGCCATTACCTTATAATACCTTTGCTCATTACCCAGCGCTGTTTTCGGCTGCAGCAGCCGCCTGTCCGCCGGAGTTTTTAAATCCTCTATTATTTAATGTACAAGGAGCAAGATTAGCTATGGAACACGACATGGCAATGAGCGCTAGTTTAGCGGCTAAACAGCAAGAAGAACGCATGTCCGTTAAAAGTATGGATAGCACAACTTCACTAGATGATTTGAAGAGGAATAAAGATTTAGAATTTGATGTCAATAAGCGGGAGGACAACTTGGATAGAATTACACCAAATAAATCCCATGGACTCTATGTAAAACCATCTCTTCCCTCTTCTGAGGAGCATTCTTCCCACCAGAGTCGTTCACCTGCATTACCCGTACAGACACCAATAGCCTCTTTTACCTATTCAAGAGAGGATACGAAACAAAATACGCCTTTTAATCTATCGCTAAAGCTTAATAATAATGATCTGTTAGGAAATAAACTGGAGTCGCCAACTGCCGCTAAAGATTTATCAACCAAGAACGACGCCGATAAGAATTGTTCGTACTCAGATACCGAGGAGGACACAAAAAAAGACCAAGGCGATCAACCTTTGGACCTATCAGTTTCAAGGAAACAATGCGATAAAGAGTCTGAGCTTGATAATGACGATCGTTCCTTTCGTAACGCGTCGGTTAAGTCTTATTCGCCACCAGAAAGCCCAATCGAGCGACAGACCAAGACACCAGAAAATGAAACAACGGATGTTGATGTGGAAGGAGTAGAACCAAAACGTGAGGACTCACCACAACCGATAGTATCAACACCTCTGGCATTCCCAATGCCCGTTCACCCTCAACATAACAACAGCCTCATTGATGCGATGTATCGTCCACGATTTTCATCCTTTCATACTGCTTCTGATTCTATTTTGAGCTCATCTCATTCTCCATACGTTCCGAGCCCGTTCAATTTTTTATCCCCACTTCTCGGTACTGATGGCCCGGATAGACAACCGAGTGCGTATGCCAAGTTTAGAGAACTAAGCGCTGGAACAGGAAAACTTCGTGATCGTTACGCTTGCAAATTTTGTGGAAAAGTTTTTCCAAGGAGTGCTAACTTAACCCGACATTTGAGGACTCACACAGGGGAGCAACCTTACAAATGTAAATATTGTGAGCGATCTTTCTCTATCTCGTCTAACTTGCAGCGACATGTACGAAACATACATAATAAGGAACGCCCTTTTCGTTGTCCACTGTGCGATAGGTGTTTCGGACAACAAACGAACCTCGATCGACATTTGAAAAAGCACGAGGCAGAAGGTGGTGATTCTCCAAGTTCGGCAGATACAGAGCGAGAGGATGCTTACTTCGACAATATAAGGTCTTTTATGGGTAAGGTGACATGTTCACCCGGAGCACGGACGCCGCCAGCGACCTCACCTCATGCCCCCCACCCCCCGCATCCTCCACACCGCCCCTCCCTTGCTATTTCTACATAGCCGACGGTGTACCCGCTGCCGCCTCCGCCCCCACTTTGGCCGCAGCCTTTTGAATAATCTCGATAATTTAATCGATTTTATACCGATTAAGTACTATCTATTGGTAAGCAATTACTCTCTTTTAACTCTCGGTAATAGATCTAATGAATCGAGAGCAATGTTGCTGTTAACGCAACTCTATGTTCATGATTTCTTCTTTTAATATTAATTAGTGTTAGTAACATCGGCATTTGCATACATGAGCATATTTTATCATGACAACATTAGTAAATTAGAGCCATTTGATGACTCCGTGGTGCAGTTGCCAAGGTATTGGCTTCGGCGTCGGGGGTCGTGGGTTCGATTCCCACACGGGACAACTATTTGTGCGACCCACAGATAGTTGTTTCGCATCTGGGTGTTTGTCCTCGTGCAATTTATGTTTGTAAAGCGTCCTTGCAACACAGGATAATGTTATCCTAAAGTGAGGGCAATGTTTTAAAAAAAAAAGATAAACAAATAAACAAAAGATTCTTGTTTAAGGTGATGTAGCCATCGTCGATGACGAAGAGACCGACTTTAATTCGTTCCTAGATGTATTCTTGATTAGAGGGTGGTTTAAATACGATCGTATTTAATTATCAGCAAGTGGAGTATTGTATAGAAGTTAATATTAACATACATGTTAATATAGAATAAAATAATGTTTATTGTAAATTACTGTAAGTAAATCGAAATATAAATCGGTTGAAATGTTGTCAATCTCTCGTTAAGTCAAATCCTACCAAAGTTTTTTTATTAACAAATTTGGTGAAATTACTCTAATAAACAAATAATATAAATTTGGCACATCAAAATTGTGATTTAAAGTGTTATTTTAAAAAATATAAACAAAAGTATAATTTTTAATATTTTTTGTTAAATTTGTTACTTACGACGTTAATCTGTAAATAAAAATTGTAATTGCACAGATCATATCATGCATTTAGGTAAAAGGAGCTCAAGTTGTTTAGCTATTGATTTACATTATTCGTAAAAAAAGAATTATTAATAAATTGTTAGATAAATTTAGATTATAAGGTTAAAAAATTGACTCGGAATCTACTTCAATTTTAAAACTATACCAATTTTACTTCTGACAAATTTCATATCAATTTATGATGCGGAACATATATTAGCTATAATGTTTTCATGTGTATACACTACTACTTTTATTACAGTTGTAATAAATTACTAAAATATTAAATGCAATTACATTGAAATTTCGGAGTTTTATCGTCATATCACTTTCAGGCACTAGATAAATAAGGCCTCTTGAACCACAAGAAGCAAACGAGAATAATATTAGTACACTGTACTTTCTTCATGTCTAATTCGATTGCGATCTATAAATATTGTAATGCATTGAAAAATTAAAACAGTACAATAAAATTTTTCGCACTTTCATTTCTTCATCCAAATACGTCATATTGCGGCATTAACTATTTTAACGTTACGATTTAGTATTTCTAAATAAATTAAATTTTCTTTTAAAATAGTAATCACCGAAAATTAGAACTGCGTAAAGCACGCAGTTCTAATTTTCGGTGATAGTTTTAAATTTACCTGAGCAGCCGATCTAGTTTATTGAACATTAATAAAAGTGTTTCCCACATGGGGTAGTACTGCGTATGGGATGAATATTTAAGTTTCATCCAGCTCATAAAGTAAAAAAAAAACCGAAAATCGCCGCGTATCGAAACTGTAACGGATACACTGGATGCGTCAACTAGTCGATTGAAGTTCCACTACCCCCTACTGCCTGATTGTTATTAAACAGATAAGTAGGGAAGACTCTTAGTTCTTTTAACCAATGAAAAATCGATATTAAATCAAATTGAGTGACATTTATGACCAGTTCAACAAATACCGAAGAGATCGCCGATTTTATGATTCTTGAACCGATTTTGTGTCATGCGGCAATTGTCTCACGGGGAGTAATTATTTAGCGGAGACTTGTGACCTTTAACAAAAGATTTTAATCAAGTAGGCGGGTATTATATAAGAGATAGTCCGGGCGAACGGCGTTATCAGTGAAAGCAAGGACGCATCAAGGACGCAGATAAGGCAATGGCGCTCATTATCGAGCGGCCGCTCGCTCGCACCGGCGCAGCGTGTCGCTTTTGTGGCCAGCAATAGCGGACTAAGTGGACTATTAAGCTTAGTCCATGACACACCTCATTGTCTACGATCGAATTGTACCTCTTTTGGGTATTATTACTTGAGTTGTGCTATAAACACTTGAATTGTTATTCCAGTTATACGTGATTTTAATGTTGATATTAGAAGATTCAAAAGAATTGTATTGAAAACGCTATTAACTGTTTTTATAGCAATCCTTTAGGAGAAATGTGTCATTGTATCTAGTATAATGTAGTTACGTGTCTAATACATTGCCGTTTAATGAAATGAATCAAACTATAAATTACATATTTAAGGAGCGATAAGACTATGCAAATATGGGAGATATAAAATTATATCTGTGTGAACTTTAACCTAAGCCTGATTTTTATAATTCATGTACTCTGTAGTAAGCTTCCACCTCCAATTTGTTGTTTAATGTGTATAGAAAACGGCACTAAATGCCATTCAAACGTAATGGATCGTGCTCTATAGTGCGGGGAGGGGGGCTGTGGTGTACGTGAGCAAACAAACTGAATAAGGTCTCGTTTTGCGAGAATCTCGCACCGCTATCAAGACACATACTGTACTGCCCACTGAAATGAAAAGCGAAGGTTTACATGGAGCTATACTGAATTTTCAAGAATCTTTCATGGATTTTTCGATTGCAATAAATGATGTTAATAAAATAGGACTCCAAGAGTGCAGTTAGGCTGGGTTCCGTTTGGGTCATCCGTTCATAGTTCTGTTGAGTTTTTTCATTACCGTTCACCAAATTACATATATTTTAATAGTCAACGCTATCGGAGGTCACACTCCGCACCGTACCTCTGCGGCCCGTAGGAGACATTTTCCTGTTTAAAATAACAAACAAATGAACACATAAGACTCCCTACCCAATACAAGGGCAGTATCACGCTCGTGGGTGCTGACTAGCCCACAAGTTTTCTCTTCGATGAACCATTAGTCAGTTACGCAGTGAAAGAAAAAACATCTAAAAGTAAGGTAAAACATTTATACTTTTGAAAAAGTTGGTTATTTTTGTATAAATGAACATACTATGATATGCTTTTGTTGCTTTCCCAGGGTCGATTTGGATATCTTAGCCCCTGCCGAACACACACACTATCCCTGCATAGAGGGAAACTAATCGGATGTGCGTGATATTGCGATCGTCAAAAATATCAACCTCACCATACGCAAATCTGAAGTGATCCATGAGCTTTATTCATCTTAGATCACCGACCATTTATACTTCGGCTAGGGCCCTCAGCAATAGCCGCTCCCCAAACCAAAACGATTATTAGCTGGCATAAAGTCAAATCAAATCTTGATGAAACCAATCCGCCCCAACTAGAGTCAATCCCCGGTCAAATCAACAACAAGCAGGGCATGGAGACCGCTATTTTGGGCTCTCACAAGTCACGGCCACATTGCCGTCGAGCAAGGTTAAGAGACAGGTTTCAGCGATGGATGACCATTACTGGGCCCTGCCAGACGATGTGCACGACTTGATGAGACGAAAGAAAGCGGACACACGGGCCTAATAATAAATATCCCAACGACTCGAATCGCAGGCTTCTACGTAAATTACAGCATAAGGTGAAAGCATTCATCGCGAAACGAAAGGTGGGACTCCACCTTTACTACAATAAAACCGTCCCACCTAGTCTTCTGGAAGCTCCCCAAATCCCTTAAGGCCAACTATGCAGCCGCTAATTCGCCCGATAGGCACGCCAGCAATTCTGGACGAAGAGAAGGCTGAATGTCTGGCTGACAGCCAATCTTTAAGACTTCGCTAGTCTGCTTCCGGTCAACCCCGTACACCTCCACAAGGTGAAGGAAGAGGTTGAAAGAAAAACTAAAGAGTCACTTTGCAATTCCGTTCCCTCAGTCATGTACAACTAATCAAAAATCTACGCCCATGCAAAACGCCTGGCGGTATGGTATCACCAATAAGGTAACCTACTTCGTCCTACTAGTATCCTTCAGATACTAGTAATAATCTAAAATGCGGCAAGGACCGAATTCTTCCCTAATATAGAAGCCTAAAATAGAAAGCGTATTAGTTAAACGCTAAACGCCTCGATGTAGCGAACGTCTTTGATAAAACCTGGCACGACTGGCTCATATACAAGTTATACGAGTACGGAGTGCCAGATCGTCTCGTATGCATAATACGAGACTTCCTAAGTGATCGGACCTTTCGCTATCGCGTCGAGAGGGTGTTCTACAACGCATTCCGTTGGAGTCGGGGTGCCTCAAGGGTCGGTTTTGGGCCCAATCCTGTTTACGCTCTACACAAACGACATACCGCGTGTCAAAGGTGTTAAGAACTTGTCCTCTTTGCTGAGGACACCTGTCTCTTTACGTCAGGCAGAATGCCAGAAACGATCCATGGACGGCTCCAAGGTGCGGCCATCACCTATGGTGACTGGTTCCGGCAATGAAGGATCGAGGGCAATCCCGCCAAAAGCGCGGCCGTCTACTTCTTGCACGAAAATGTGCCCGGCCACCTTTAGTTCGGTGGATATGTAAAGGCCATTCAAGGCCAACAGTGGTTGATTCAACTAAAAAAATGCTTTTGTTATTACTTCGTGTAAAAGTATACAATATAATAGAAAAATTGTAAAAGTAATTTACATAATTAAATGGTACTAGAACTTTCGTTACAATTATTATCCGTTGGAATTATACAATGATTAAACCATTGATAACCATGATTAACCATGAAATGCCGTTCCTAATTACTGCGAAATGTCAACTTTGCATGTGAGTCCGGTCTTAACAAAGCTTGACATCACTGCTATTGTGCGTCTTTCTCTATACAAGGCGCCATAGCGTTCCCGTTTACACAATCGCGAATACGCCCGGCACGAGAAATGCGTCTTATTAACCGCTCTTTGCAAAT